GAGCCTCGTACTGTTGGGCACCTACTTACATATCTGGCCTAAGATATCTCTCAGTGCACCCTCCTGCACTTCAGCTGTCAAGCTAGAAAACATAAATGGCAGCAGCAGTTATTAGATGTGCCAACAGAAAAAGGGGCACACCTCCAGGAATCAGCATTTCATTCTAGAGATATGCCTCCATAATAAATTATGATTTATTTATTTTTTTAAAGAAATTGCAGTTCCCAAACTTATTGGGAGAAAAGCCAATGACTCCATTATGATTTCATACCACTTGTGGCTATTGTTCTATGCTTTGGGGAACAATATATGAAGTTATATTTTTAAAGTAATCATGCCAAGATCAAACTCACTCTTCCAGAAAACTTGGGTTACAGATGAAAGGCACAGATTCTCACAAACAATTAAGTCCCTCAAGTTTAAATGAGAGAGCTGAAGATGGTGTCCTTTCTCAGCCATCAAGCAGAACAAAACATGAACTCTAATTGCCGAGAGGCATCAGCATGAAGGAGTTATAGCTGACAGAGTCAGTAATTAATCCTGTTTTCTTCTGCTTTCAATAGAAACAATTTAGAAGTCACATACTCCAACAATGATTCTGGGAAACCTATTTTATAAGCTACAAGACGGACCACCAAAAGAAGGTCATAATTCACCACAATTAAAAACCAAGTCTCTGTGGTTATTAAGCAATATGCTTTCTCCCACTTGAAAATACATTCCACTCTAATTTGGAGCTGTTGATTTACTCTTGTAGGACACATTTTGTCCAATAATAGATTGTATACGTCACATGCCAGACTAAAAGCTGCTTCATTACAATTAAAAATTCTTCATTAGCTTATTCTCAACAAGATAAAAAATAACCTTTCGCAACAAGCAATATATCATTATTGAAGAAACCTCCAAAGGAGGGATAACATGGGCCAGACGAAGACTCTTCTTGCTGGCCAAACAAAATTGGAAAGAGGAGCAATATGGTTTATGAAATTATAGCTGGCTATCAGCCTACATTGCTGGGCAGCAAACCAGAAAAGGTATAGGGCTAATAGGGCAATTCAGACAGAATTCAAACTAGAGTATAAACAAAAGGAAGGGTGCGGTAGGTCCAGAAGTCACCACCCAAACCCATTTGCCTGATGGAGAGGGAAATGGGGGCAGTCTTGTTTCTTCCTTTGAGGGGATGGGATTTCCTCGAAACAGGCTGAAATCCAGTAAAAAGTTGTAATTAGAATAGGTCCATTGAACCAGTGGGGAGTTGGCAAGTCTACACCGAACTGAATTCCATTCATTCAATGGAGTTAATCTAGTTGTGACTTACTATTGGATTCAGCCACGAATTAAAAACAACGATTAGGAAAATATATATAGGGTGGTGGGGCCTGATGAAAAGGATACACTTGCTGAAATTTTCTACATATGTCACAAATATTGAAGTTGCAAGACTCTTGTCCTCCAATGCAGCAAGCCACCCTAAATAACATAATCCTGAAACAAAAATCTCTTTAGTTGTCACACAGGAAAGGCCACAGAACATCTGGCACACTTCTGCTTAAGGCTGCATGACTTTGACCATAGGATGGAAGTTATAATTAGATTGATTTGTGCCTATCTGGAAGGCCTTGGTGGGGGGTGGAAAGGATCAGAAATAGCCTGGCTCCAGAGCTAAAATGCTATGCCAGATGGGGCTCAGCTGTCTGAAAAGCAATGTGAAAAATATGGCATGCCAAATAGGAAATGTAATGTGAAATCGAGATTTCTTATGGATTGCATTCAGTGAGAAAAATGAAGTTGGAATTTTCAGGGAGGTAAAGGGATCTGAATAGCACTGACATGCTGGTCAATTAATCAGCTAATATAAAATGCCCCTTATTTCAACAAAATTATAATGTTAATGCTTCTTTAAGAAATGACCTTTTAGTTCCCCATGAGAAAGGTATTTAAAATCTGGCTTCTGTATTTTAATAGTTGCTGCTTGTTTGATTTACATGTAATTTGATTTCCTTATTAAGTTTCCTTGAGCAATTTCCCCAGATGAGGAAATTTGGAAGAAAAAAGCCTCTTCTGAATATCTCTAATGCTTTAGAATAAAATATTAGTTATTCATCAGATTATTCACAGAAAATTATAAATCATTATAATGTTTGTAAAATCTGATTTCCAGCGCAGCTGGCCAAATGGCCAAAAGCCATTTGAGCTGGTATTAGGCCAGCTGATGTGCTGATCCAAAGCCTTTCCATTCTAGCAATGCTGGAAATTACCTAGGACTAACCTTATGTTGCCTAATTTTGTGCCCATGTTGTCCCTCTGGGAAGTTTTGATTTGGCACAACTCTTCTCTGCCAGTTTTGATTTGGCACAACTCTTCTCTGCCAGTTTTTCAGCCCTTCTCCCAAGAGATACAAGCTGGGCAAACTGTGGTGTTGGAAAATCACTCTCTGATCTCTGAGATCAGTTGGCAGAAAGGCATTTCTACTTGTAGAAGAGCACTTCTCAACACCCTGTGGCTAGCACATCTTTGAGTCAGGATCGCCCTACTTACTGTTTATAGTAAGAACTGTTTTCTTGTCCTTTTAAGTAGTTCAAATACTAAATCTGTTGCCAGTAAGAACACATTTTTGTTTTTCTAATAACATTTGACTAAACATAGTGATTAAATCCATTTTGACTGGTCAAATGCCTAATTATAGATCTGAATATTATTAAAATATATTTTACAGGAGGTAAAGCATACATTCCTTAGTGATCCGAATGGTCATCTGCAAGGATTCTTCATACAGAACACAAATTAGTAATATACAAGTTCTTTTCAATTTGCCTGACATTCTCGTTTCATCCTCATCTTGAGGTTAAGTAAGACCTTTCCTAACAGAGAAACATATGATGGACATTTAGTGGTCATCCGAAAGAAGCTGAAAATGGCAAACAGACTGACTTATCTGGATTTGGTGGAGAAGATTTTGACCTAGTTAAAACAATTAGCTTACCTATGCAGTTCCCTCTCTTTTTAGTGTGCAGAAACTGACGCTACAGGTTTTCAATTAACCACAGTTTTCTGCTGCATCAGGACCAAGAAATGATGGTTACTAGGTTCAGAGCAAACCAGTTATGGTTTCTGTTACTAGCCTGATCCCATAACAAAATTTTCGTAGTTTAGATATATGTAATGGAAAACTGTAATTAATGGAAGACTTTCTGGCTTTTTATAGTCCAACTAAGAGGATGGAGAAATGACAAAAGTCTCTGTCCTTTAAAAGCCAAAAAACTGTCACTTAAAATACTACTTAGAGGAATTAGAGGCTTAGAAAAGATACTTTCTGAGAACTGCAAAGAAAATATCAATGTCAAGCATGCTGCAGAAGAGCAAAAATAGGTACAACAAGAATCTCTTTCTTTCCAAGATCTAAGACTGTTCAGAGTATCTTGCTCTTGTAAAGAAGAGAAGATGGCACTACTTGTTAATTTAAAGAATTGTACTCTGTCCTTTTTGGAAGCTCATTTTTCAGCACAACACCCTCACAACAGAAGAAAACGTTATCCAATGTTTCTGTAGGCTAGAGTCTAAGAAAATCACAATGGCAATTACTAAGGGTACCCCATAAATAACAGTACTTCATTTACTATAGAAAGACAATGCTTTAAAAAAAGAGAAAAAACATCTTATATACTCACTGAAAGTCAAAGCACCCTATCTGAAAGATCTATCAGATCTGTCTCAGCACCATGGCAAGGTCAACAAAGATAAAAAAAGGATGCCACCAACCACCTAGCTGAGAGCCTAGAGAAACTCATTAGCAGACACTTTCCCTCAGGACTTGGTATCCTTCCCTCTGTAACAAGTTCGTGCAGCCAGATATGTTGATGACTTAACATGACGAAGCATAACATGTCTTCCCAATTTTGTCCATCTAACTGATCTGCTGCTACCACACAGCGCAGGTTAGGAAAGTAACTGGAGGAATAGCAGGAATGTCACTGTTACTGCATGGTGTAACTGTAGAACTTTCCTTCATAGAAAAATCAGCTTTTTGTGCTTTTTGAACAGAACCTTTGTTCTCTGGATATAAACCACAAAGTTTATTCTCTCTAGAAACATCTAGAAGATGAAGAAGCACAGAAATCACAGACAGAAAGACAGATTTCTCTTTAAATTTACCATAGTGGAAAACAACATCATCTGGTCCACCTGCTTGCCATTGACAGAATCAGCCATGAATCCACACTGCACATCAAACCACTGAGTAGAAAACATGTAAACCTGCACAAAATCACCTATAAGAAAGGCTTAAATTGACAAGATATGTCTGCTCTTTGAAACCCATATATATTCTGAAATCCAGGATGGGAAATGTGTAGTGCCTTAGATGTTATTAGATTACAGGTCCTGTCATCTGTGACTACTGGGTATATTGGCTAGAACTGATGGGAGTTGCAGTCCAAACAACATCTACAGCAGTGGTCCCCAACCTTTTTAACCCCACGGACTGGCTAGGGAAGGCAGGGCACGTGTGCTCGTGCATGTGCACGAAGAAGCAGGAGGGTGCTCATGTGGGCGCGCTTGTGCGTATGTGCAAAGGGGCCGGGGAATGCTTGTGTGGGTGCAGCCGTGTGCATGCAAGTGCAAAGGGGCTATACAAGAGGGGAGTGCATGCAGGGGTGGGGGGGAGGTCTGTCTCCGCAGCCCGGCCCGGCTCAGGCCACGGACCAGGACCTCTGACCTAGAGGACCACATGTTTTGTAACCTGCATTTGTCAGAGTAGAAAAATACCTAGAGACTAACTTTCCAAGATAGAAATCGCTAAGGGAAACCATTTTGTCCTGTATCAGCCCTGGCATATGAAACAGTAGGCAAAGTCCAAGATTGCATCAGTATCTCTCCCCTTCCTGCTGCCATATACTCCACACACATTATGCCACGTGGCCACCCATTTTAGTCAGGGTAAACTTACAAGAACACAGACAACGAATTCTCCACTCCACAGAATGGAAGAGAGAACTTACCCTTGGAAATCAGTATCAACAAGGAGCTGGACCAGAATTCCTGTCACAGCCACAAGGATTGGATAGTGGTCTACGCTCTCCAGTCCTAAAGAAGGAATCACAATGCAGAGTCACAATCATCAATGAGAAAATCACCCAGTGCTTCTTCATACCTCCTGAATGAGCAGATCAGAATAAATAAGCACAGATTTGCAGTGAGGAATGCTGGCACAAAGGTTTCTAAGAGAATATAAAATGGTTTATGTTTGTGTTAATTCCTTTTTAAAAATGCTACATTTTCCAGCAGTTTCATCAGGTATTTATCAGTGCACCAAAAGTCCAAATGAGCCAGCCCTTTGCGATCAATATGGGAAAACTGTAGATAAAAGGGATCTTGCCCCACCAAGAGATAAAATTTTATAGGTTACATAGTTATAATTGTATTATAAAGGCATCTAAAAGAAGTTTGAACAAGGCTCAGTCTTTTAGTTTTGTCACAGCATTCTTTCAACTTCCAACCAGTATACATTACACTCACAATCACAGACAAATCCAAACACATGGAGCTTTTCTATCATATCACCATAAAAAGGACAGTCAAAGGACACTGAAATAAGTGTCAAGTAAATATTTTATTACCCTTCTCCTTTCTATGTTTCCAGGTAAAATTATGGTAATTAGTGCTTCCAAATGTGGAAAAAGCTGATATCACTTATATTGGAGAAATTAACAATCTTGCATGCAGCGTGGTGCTGGGTTTCAGTGGGAACAGGGTTTTCTTTCATAAACCAAGGTAACTATTTTTTTGCCAGTAACCAATTATCAAAGTTATCTTTTTCCTGGACTTTAGGTAAGACAGTCCCCTCTTCCTGTCCATTTGCTTCTGGTTGCTTTGTTTGTTTATTCTCTTGTTGTGTGCTTTTATATGCAAAAGGCTAGTTTCACTGCGAAATTAGCTCCTTGCTGAGATTTTTAGCCATTTTTCTTCACATTTCCCCTGTGCTGCAGCTGTTGTGCTTTTGCACTTTATGCTCTGCCAACTAAAAAGAGTTAACAAAACAAAACAACAACAACAAAAAAGAACTCCAATAACTCAAACTGGAGGATCTACATGTCAAAATGCCCAATGATTTCTGTAAGCAGAGACATCCAAGGTGGGAGTCTAGGACAACAATGTACTGAAAACTAGCCTCAGATATTCAATGGTATCAACATGTTTTTACAAAACTTAAATTTAGGAATTGATTTCCTTCACAGAAAAAGTCCATCAGGATGACCTGTCCTTATAACACTGCCTGTTCTGGAATGCTCTAGCTCTTACACTGTCTGTGCCCCACTGATATTAGATTTGCAACTCAAAGATCAATAGATTCTTAAAGCTTGGTGATGAGTACATCTTTCAAACCCTTCCAATTCTCAATTTGCATTTTCAATGAGAAGTGCTGAGTCTTTCTTCCACAGGAAGGAAAGCAAGATTCAACTGCTTCAGAAATGCTGTTTATTTCCTATGACTAATAAACATGTCATAAACCTATAGTAGCACACCTTATGTGCAGGATGTGCCCACAGCAGTTATTTGATAATTCTGCTTGCAGGAAGAAGGCCCTTGCTCTAGAGAGCAGATGAGAAGGGAAGGGGGGGAGGAAGAAAGAGAGCACACTGATAAAGCATGCTGTCCTTTTCCTGTAATAAGACACCAGGATAAGCTACCAAAAAGATAGGCTCAGGATAATAGAGTGATAGTATAAGTGGAACTTGCTCAGCAATTCTGTATTAAAATGCAGCTCTTTTCTACTCCCTGGTTTCATTGTTGCTCTCTCTCACACACAACTTTTATTGCACAAGCAGGGCATGTTCTTCCCCATACAGATTACTTCATATATTAAACTCCGTATAAAAGCAGACTCACTGGTCCTGAATAGGCCAGGCACACAGCCATCCCTTAATGACTACTTCAGACTGAGTGCCAAATTATTCTATATCCAAAAGATTCTGCATGTGTCCACGTGCATCTTTGGGAAAGACTACAGGGGGCATTCTATTGAAGCTTCACATCTTCCCCTCGCCTCATTCTCACAGTCATCCTTTTCATTTCCTGCCCACATGAAAAACTGCTGGGAGTAATAGTGGGACAAAGTAACCTGCACTGAAAACACAATCCAAGGCAAAGTCTTGGCATAGACTTGTCCGCACAAGTATTTTCTGTCTTCTTTTTGGAGGACAGCCTATGGGAAAGAGATGCTTCTGTTCAGAAACCAAAAATGCTCAGGGACTTTAGAAGCATCCCTGTGAGTTCTCAGGAATGCAAAGGGGATCATGGAGAGCAAAGGAGATTAAGGACACAGGAATTTTACACCAGATTACAATCTAGGATCCTCTAGTCATACGAGCAGGGGTTCACATACGTAGGTTTCTAGGGTCAAAAAGGCAGAAAAGTCTGTCACAAAGCATCAGTATTTCCCGTCACCTTCTACTTGGAGTCCCTCCCCAAAGGGCAACCACAAGAGGGAGGGGAAAGCAGCTCACCTGGCAGGCGAAGATTGACTACTCGGTCAAACAGGTTCCGTTCAGCTGTCACACGATTTAGCACCTGATTTAACAGCTGTGGAGAAAGAAGAGATGGAAGATGGCTTGAAGGAAAAGAGTAAATTTTCTGTACATTTTGCAAAAATTGGCACACAGCTCCCAGCTCTTTCTATTCACCAATTTAAACACCAGGACTAAAACAAGACAACCATTCTTCTCCCTTTCACAACTACCTCTGCAACAACCTGTACAGTATATAGTTACTGAATAAGTACTTTGGGGGTTGTTCCTTCCCTTATTCTCTAACTTTCAGTCCCAAACAGTACAGAAAGCTCTTCAAAGGACATCCTGTGAGATGAGATGGCCAAACAGTGGCTGGAAGTAGCATAATGCTTTGCTCCCCGGACAACATAGCATGACATAGATTAGTCATACAGGGCCCCTGCTGAGCCAGTGACAGTGAAGCCAATCACCAGCAAGAACAGGTGGAAAAGGATAGTCAGGCTCTTAATCTGATACCAATGGCAAACCCAGATTCAGTGTGTATGCCTTGGAACCTCAGTAAAAACCAACATACAAGGTTGTGCAGAGGTAAACCAAAGAGAGAGCTGTGTGAGACAAGGAAACAATCAAGAATAGCCCATCATTCTAAAATGAAATTTGATGCTTCACCAAGAGTGGCAGAATTCTGAAAGTACCACAAGGAGAATATTTGGAAAATTGGCAAGCATGACACTGTTTTAAGACCAAATTCAAACAACTTTGTTTTAAAATAACAGATTAACGCTGGGGCACAGTTGTATGAATAAATTTGTTACACACTCAGGCTCCCAGAACTCAGGAGTAAACAAGTCACTTCATTTTTAAAAAGCTGTTCTGGATATAATTTCATGCATCTGAGAGAAATGTGCTAAAGTCAGTGGAAGCTCCTGCTATTACAAACCTGTTAAGTCTTTAATGTACAGCAGGACTCTTTGTTAGGTTTGTTGCAAAACTAACAATGCTACTCCTTTGGAAACTGTTCCATCATAACCATTACTGCTCAGATAGGCCAGGATGCTTTATGAGAGGATCATGTGTAATTTAATCCTTATACAGACTAAAAGAAATGCAATGAAAAACCACAAAACTACAAAAAGGTGTTCCATGCAAAATACAAAAAGACTGCTGGACCTTCTGAAGCCTGATGTGTTCCTGATGCAGATCCTGAAAGCACTATCTATGTACAACCACTCTGTGCCATAACGTCTCCTGAGGTAAGATGAATAAGGCAGTGGAATATAAGTGGGAAAAGAAGTTTACTTTGACCTTGGACAGGTCCACAAAAAGCAGCACCCTGTTTAGCTAAAAACACAAAGCTCTTCTTGGGTGAACAGAACCCAGAACTCACCAAGCTCCTCATCAAGGAGATAGCCACCAGCAACAACCCCTAGGACAAAACTAATATTCAAGGGAATAATTCAGATCATCTTGGGGGTGGATACACAACAGCCAGCAACTGGTGAACAGAAAGCAGTGATAGTGACACCATCCTGTCAGAAAAGGCTTCATATTACAAAGCAGGAAGTTGGAACCAAGACACCACAAGAGACAAAGATTGCTGTTTTAGATTGTGAGGAGCAATGTGGTGCATCAGGAAAGACTGACTGTACCTAAACAACAGATGTGGGTGAGGGCATGGCAGGAAAGATCTGCAGAGGCCTTGGGACACTTCATGGGCAATGTGGTATTTCTTCAGTCTTCTAGGTATTGGCATGATTGGTCCTTGTTGTCGTTTAGTCGTTAGGTCGTGTCCGACTCTTCGTGACCCCCATGGACCAGAGCATGCCAGGCCTGTCTTCCACTACCTTCCAGAGTTGGGTCAAATTCGCATTGGTAGCTTCAATGACACTCTCCAATCATCTCGTCCTATGTCGTCCCCTTTTCCCCTTGCCTTCCTCACATATCCAGGAGCCCTGCAAGGCAGAACCCTGACAGTGGGGGCCCCAATTAACCTGAATCCATGTGGACAACATCTGTTGTTTAACCACTGCAAGGAGTGGGGGACTGAAACTGGCACCACTAGAGTGAGATGGGTCTTCTAAGTGATTATAGTTTGGTGTGGCAGTAACAATATGTGAAGGTGGCAGAAATTTTAAAAAGGGAAAATTACTTCTGGGGTGATCATACCAAGAAGCTGCATGAGATATATGAGGGGTACTTTCCTTTCTTGGCTGACATGGTAGACTGAGAGTAATAGCTTGAGAAACTTTACATGCAAGAGGAAAAGTTTATCTCTTCCATGTTGATCTGGATTCTGAGATGCTGAAACCTTCTGCCAGATGGAGGAAACTGTTCAACTGTCAAAGGCACCAACACTCCTTGGGCAAGCAGCCAGCATATCCAGCAGGCTCCCTTCATCCCCCAATTTGTTCTAGGCAAGACTGACCCCTGCCCTCCTCTCCTGACCTTCTAAGAGTGAACTGTCGTCTGTAGCAACACAATCCCCTCTATTTCCTGGCTTCCTCCTGTGAAGATCATGCTCTTCTGCCATAGACAGATCAACCAGGGGAGGCATGATACAGAGCACCGGGAGGGTTACCACATCCAAGAAAATCCTTATGAGATAAAGGACCATGCAAACCCAAAATGTCTGGTTCCCATCCCTGAAACACAAACTGTGTAAACAGCAGAGGTACCAGGAGTGCCCCTGGTAAGGGAGAAGTAGTCAAGAGACTTGCACAGCAGGTTCCCCCCAAAATAAGATTCTGTGGATTTTGCGGGTATGCTCCAGGGCCTTGCCAGAAAGCAGCACTGGCAGCATAACAACAGAGTGGTGGCAGAAAAACCCCTCAAAAACACAGGAAGCAGTTGAGTTTCTGGGCTCTGAAGGCAGCCTAAAATGAAGCAGAGAGATGAACTTCTGCCACTTAAGTTAGTGTGAAGCAGGCAGTTGGAATCCCACTATAGGGAAAGTGGCAACTTAAGTTAGTGTGAAGCAGGCAGTGTACTGCTCTTGAATTATTGATAGCCCTCCTCTCCTCTCTCCCCCTAAATTCCTGTCTGGCCAAAGACCAACATATCATAATGGAACCCAGCTTTCCTAACCAAGGCAGAGTCAAGGCTGGAGAAGGTTTGCTTCTCCATTTTGGAGCCAGAAGTTTTGTTCTGAAGCTGACTTCCACAGAAGGAGCATCTGACCTTCCCCACTCCTGCACTGACAAAGGATTGTTATAGTTTTCATCACAAAGTGGGGGAACAGGGCACAGACTAGTTTATTTATCAAATCTCATTAAATGTATGGATATATTTTCTCTAAAAGTTTCCTTCAGAAAGAAATTAAAATATTATCAAGGGGAAAAGAGAGCCCTGACCTGCAGATTTTATTTTGTCCCAAACACACACCAAATAATTGCTACTAGAGAAGAATGGCTGTGTGGGGTTTGAGGAGAGCAAGCTTGCAGCTCTGCATCCATCAACCTCAGAGCTTGCTGCTACACAATTTTTAGAAGGTTCGCAATGGTGGAAAGCTCTTCAGCTAGGAAAATATTTGCCCCTACCCTGTTCACCTATAGCCTCTGTTCTTACCCCAGAGAAGTGAGTACCTGTGCAAGTCTTCTGAGTAACAGCTCTGATGAGGGGCGACTCCAGTCCAAGAAGATCTCAGGAGCCAGAGTGACTGTCATTTCCAAGACCCTGAGTAGGCTCACTGACAGATCAAAGCAGGTTGCACACACCTTCAGTTGACGACTATCTACAAAGTTTCTTTCCAAGCGCTCAGCAGCTTGTTGGATCTGCCCAGACAAAAGGATGCTGCTTAGCATAAGGAGTAAGTGAGAAGATGCAGCTTCATTAATCACAGGATTGTTTCAAAGCTTGAACATAATGAGTTACAAAAAAACTAGTGACTAGCATTTAATTTTTTTCCCTGTAGTGAAGACATAGCTACATTATTTTAGTAATGCAGTTTATTGAGGGATAACTTTACTACCTTTTGCAGTGTAACTGTGCATATTTTAGCTACCATAAACTGTAAACATTTTGCTTTTAGTTTTCTCTTTATGCAGATGTGACAATAAATGGTGGGAAGGAAATATCCCATACTTCAAGTGCTCATTTGTGCTTTGCTGGGGATACTGTGGCCAGTAGTTTGTACCATTCAGATTTTTCCCCCCAAAAAAGTAAGTAGAAGTAATTTATTTACTTGAGGGAATTTTTTAAAAGCCTGTAATTAACTACAGTTGTGCCTTGTTACAAAAACAGTGACTACATATTTAAAAGTAACTTAATAAGCTAGCTCTTGATTCCCATGTCTTTTTTGGTACCCAGAACTTTCCAAGCACTTCTGCTACAACCACAAAGGGAACCTTGCAAAAGATTTATTTATTTGCCAGTAACTTATCAGGTAGAAAGTTTGACCATTCCAGTAAGGTTTATTGAAGGCCTCACCTCCTGAATCATGCCAATGAACTCTGAGAAGGCCCAGTTCAGCTGGTTAAGGACACTATTGAGGAAACTGGGTGCCATTTCATGGTCACTGCGCAGCAAGTCCGCCATATGTTGCTGCAGGAGGGTGGACGGACAAGGCTCTGTAACAAAACAAGTAGCAGTTTCTGAAGCAGTAGCATTGCAAGGCGTTGCTAGACAGTTGCAGCTGGGCCCAGCCTATTCTGCATGCTGACAACATGCAAAAATGGGTAATGGTGAAAAACAATAGTTCTGTATCTTTGCTCCTCTAGATGTTTTGGACTTCAAACCCAGAATCCCTCACTACTGACCCACTTGACCAGGAAGTTTTAAGCACTCTTTCATTCTCTATAGATTATATCTCTTTTCATTACATGTAGCACCACTTTGTTCCATAAAACCAGAAGAAATGCTTTGTGCCTTTCTTCCCACAGCCATCCTCTTTACGATAAGTAGAGATGGCAGGTGCCCTCTCCAAGGCCAGCGTTCACATGGACTATTCTGGGCCTGTCCCATCTCTAAGGCCTGAAGCACTTTGCCATAATGCCGGACTGAATTAGCTGGGATGTGGCTATACACATTCACCATCTTTCCTGCAAATAAGAGGTTGTACCCTAAAGCAGAGTTTCAGTCAAGCACCCTTCCCACTCATCTTCTCAAGCCCTAGGTCAGCTCGCAACTAATCTTTCCCGAAAGCTGCATCACAACAACTTCCCAGAAGGGCATCGACACCAAGGCAGCTGTCCCCACTCCTTTCTGCCAGCATGACATGTGTTCACACTTGTCTACCCAGTGCCAATCAGGAAGGATAGTGAGTGAGAAATCTAAAGAAGAAAGTGGTGGTGGTGGGGGAAATAAGCCCCATTTTTTCCCCAGCTAGCTTGTGGACTCAAGATCAAGCTGCCAACTGCTGTGCTTTTTGAGGCAAACTGTACCAGTGTAAAGGCAGCCTTCACAAATCACTTATTTCTTCAGAAAATATGCAAACTTTCATTAAGAAATCTTTCTCAGCACAATCTAAAGGAGAGATATTTTCTCACCTCCCTTCCCACTTCTAATGCTCTCACTAGAAACAGTAAGATACCAGGGATCTTACAGCTGCCAATATCTCAAACTACTTTCTGTTGTATTACAATTCAGATACTGCCAACATCACTAGGGCCACAGCAGTGACAGCAAGTAAAATACATTCTAATGGCACCCCACCCCTGACATTACATTTCCTTCCTTAAAGCACTTAGAAAGGGCCCGGAAAATGGTTCATCACACATGAGACTTTGAAATATGCAGAAGGTTGAATAAGAAGCAGGAGACATTGCTAAACAGAGCTAGATTATATTGGGTTCTCATAGGACAGCTCCTATGCTGAAAATGTTTTTCTCCTCCTGAGTTCAAGTCACTTCTGTATTAATTTTAAACATGCACAGAAGGAAAAGGAACATCGGTAGGCATTGCTGCCCCACAGAATATTCTTGGGGATTGGCTTCAAATAAACGTAATGTTGATTTTTCTTTTAAATAAATAAAATATTCCCCACAATGGAAGTTCCCGCTTCTTCATTAGAAAGAGCCACCAAAGCAAAACAAAAACAAAACTCTACAAAACAAAAACACCGAAAAGCTAGATTAGGCCGCTCCTTATCTGTGGTCAGGCAAAGACCTTCCTTTTCAGGCAGGCCTTTAAGCAATAAGTATCTAGGGAACACTCTGTCTTTTGAAGCTTAGATATTTAACATGTTTTTAAATTTGCTTTTAATCCTGACAAACATTTAACTGTTTTTTAATATATAGTTTTATATATCATTTAAACTGCTATTATGATATGATTTTAATTGTTATGAATTGCCTTAAGTCCCCTATGGGTAGAAAGAGGGCAAATTAACATAACATAACACAATACTGTACAACACAACTATTCTTCCAATATCAACAACCTGCCTGCCACTTTAGAGCTTTCATCTTGCATAACCGAACTCCTTGCCTCAGGAGGCTCTCAAAATGTCACAAATATTAGACAACTGCCTCCTTGCAAAGTTCATAATAGCAGCAATGAGCTTTACGAGCTGTCCCAATCAGCCCTAAACAGCAGTACTTACATACTGGCTAGAAAAAGTGGCCAGTGGAGGAACAGCAACTGCTCTTAATGTCAGAAATGCTATCTATATCTCTATCTATATCTATATAGCTATAGCTATGAGGGAGATACAAAGAGTGTGTATAATCATAATGGATCTACCTTGCATTCAGTTCATGTAGGATCCAGTCCCATCACTGTCAATAATTTAGAAAAGAGACCAAAGTGGGCTCCTGACAGGAAATGAATACCATATGTCATGTAGTCAATTCAGCATAGAGATTAGAAAGTGATTCTGTCCTCTAGAAGCCCTAAGAAAATGTCCACTGGCACTTTCAGGGAAGCAGGAGTGTCACAGACATAGAAAATGAGCAATCCCAGCATTCAAATGGCAAGTAGGTTTTCAGATTTGGAAATTCCACACTAAGGTAAGAGCCAGACCATCTGATCTTTTGGCTTTTCTCTGTGCCCCTGCCTGCAGCATAAAAATCTGGGGAGAGGGGAGCTTCATGCCTCTTGGGCAGCATCTCAAGGACATCTAGTAGGCAAACACCTTTCAATTAACTGAGAATTAATTATTCATTCAAATACACCTCAAAATAGCAGAAGCCACTAGCCAGCAGATCCTGTGCCCTGCCTTAGACCTTTTGGAGCCATTTGTAGAAATAACTGGTAGACAGAACAGGATTCCACTAATACCTAGAAACATGAAACAATACCACACTCCCCCCATGAAGTGCCCTGAGGTCTCTGCAAAGCCAACCGGTTCATTATGTTGTGCATTACAGTCTAGACTTGCAGCAACTTTGGTGTGATGAAAAAGAAAAGCTGCACCTGTTAACAATTTCTGTTGTCATTTTGACCCCATCTATAATGAAGGAAGTGGTTAAGAAATGTAGGGTATGAAGAAGAATAAAGTGGGAGAAGCGAGTGGACACCATGACCACAAGGGGAAAGGGCAGTGGAGACTGCCAGCTACAGGTCGGCACTCATACTGTGCCCTCCAACTAACTGCAGAGGTACAGCTCTCTACCACGCTGAGGCATGCATTGACAGGCACCATGAAAAGTCTGGGTAGCTCTTAGGACCATTTCTTGGTGCATCCAAGCCCACTAATCCCTCTGACCTTCCTATTGCACCATTTCCAAACACTGATTCCGAATTAGAATAGGAGACAGAAAAGAGGGCCTGCCTGCATTGCCAAGAGTGGCAGGGGAAGAGCCTCTGCTGAAGGGGTATAAAACTATTCCACCACCATACAAAGGAAATATGATGGGACACTTACTCTGGAAACTAGCAACAGAGAGATCTCCTGGGCCCAAGTCATAAAGAAAACAAACAGACAAAGAAATAGTAAATACAGATTAACGTATTCTTAGCTGTGTCCAAGCGTTACTGCTGCCATCTCCTGCTGAGCTGTGAGATCTGCCATTTTGTCCATGTATTATTATAGGATCTTTTAGAGGCAGCAGATCAAATGACACATAATCATCCATTCAGAGGACGGAAGCTTGTACAAAAGAGGTCAGCACTCTCTGTGTTAGCAGATAAACTCCTGCTCAAATCACACGCATGTTTTCTCTATGCAACTCCAAAGTTTTCTCTACAACTTCAATAAAATTACCAAACTGGAGCTAAAGGGTTTATTATGGATCACAGCAGTGATTCCTGTAAACGTGGGGCAGGATTTCTCTCACCTCTTGAGTGAGCCTCAGGGTGCAGTGGTTAAACTGCTGTACTGCAACCAAAACTGCTCATGACTCAGGATTCAATCCCAGGTAGCCAGTTTTAGGTTCCAAGGTCAGTAAATTGAGTACCTAGCTCACGGGGGGTGGGTGGGGGGAGGACGTTGTGTAGCCTGCATAATTAAATTGCAAACCGCCCAGAGAATGCTTCAAGTGCTATGGGCCGGTATATAAGCAGTATACTCTGCTTTATTCTCTGACCAGCTACAAAAGGAAGGTCAGAGCTCCTCCTACAGTTTGTTACTGGAGTCTTTCTAATCTCCTTGCCATGCAAAATAAAGACATTTTGAGTACAGTGTTAATGTTGATATTCCAAAGCATGGCTGTGTGTGTAATGTCTAAGGACAAGGGTAGGTCCCTACAATTATCTACAGAAAAGAAGACAACTAGTGCATGTTGATAACTGACAGCTGAAAATCGTTTTATATATTACCTATGTTGCCATCTCCAGAGAGGCAGAATCTCCTAGATCTAATGCAGGTTCACCAAGAAGGAACCTGACTTCCTTCCACAAATTCAATTCTACTTTCAAAATTATAATCTGATGGTTTTGGAGATCCTTCCACCCAACCACACTTCGTCATATATTACAAACACATTTCCCTCACATATTATGGTTCTTTTGGGTACCTTCATATGAGAAGTTTAAGGTATCCCCAATGACCTACTGAAAACAGCTGAGGGAGTGACTAAATCTATAGAGGCTAACTGAGGTTCTATAGAATGACTTTACAGATTTTTTTAAAAACTGAGACTTGTTGCAAAGGAAGGAAAGAAGGAAAGAAAGAAAAACTGGGTAGTGGGTCAGGATATTAAGAAAAAACTCTGCATCTCGAGTTACCACACACAGTCAAGCAGGGCAACATATCCTTACTACTTGGCTGTCAGAACATCTCCAGAAGCTGGACATTCTGGGACCCAAGCAGTGACACAAACAATAACCCTACTACCAATTAAAGTTGCAGCAGATAGTGTCACATTACATAATCTTTTCTAACAGCAGACTAGATAGGGCGAAGTTCAAGCACTAGATTGCATTTACCCATAAGATGAAATGGCAAAGCTACATCCTCCCATTCTCTATCCCACACTCACTCTGCAAGCTGGGAAGGTTGGCATCCTCTGGCTTGGTTTTCAGCAGATGAGGAAGCCGTGTATATCTGTATCCAAATCCACAGCCCTACAGAATGGGTAAGAAAAGAAAAACTGCAGATGCTTAGAAGACTGCACATCATCTCTGGTTAGAACACAAAATATTCTGCTAGAAAAAAAGGAGCAGAGGTTCAGACAGTGAAGTTAAGGAAGACTTCATGCAGAGATCAACCACTTGTTCAAAAACTAAACTGGGAACTCCAAGCAAAATGGGAAGGCAGGGAGAGAATCTGTCCTTACTCGCCACAGTCGTACAAGGATCCAGTTGGTCTGGGCCCAGGGCCTTTGTTCATAGGGGGCCAGCAGGTTCCTCATCATGGAAATCCGCCTGCCAGAATAAAACAAAGAGGTCAGCCCCTCATGAGAGGGGCAGATGCCAAGGCTGAACAGGGAATGGGAGTCCAAGAGAAGGGAGACTGAAAAGTGCCATGTGAGGAATCAAGGGGAAAATGGTTTCCGTAACACCAAAGGGATTTATAAGCATAGGAACCATGCCAGATTCAGACAATAAACAAGGTATCAGCTTCTTTCAGGACACAAGTTATCATTCCGGGAAGAAAGAAGAAAGAACTTACTGTTCTTCTGGAATCCTCTCTACAGCACGGAGTGAGTGGGAGTAGCAAACATAGCTAGCCAACGCCTGCATTAGAGAGTCTCTGATGTCTGAATACAGAAATGAGAAAGAACTTTTAATGAAGCAGCAGATATTGTATAGTGGTAACATATATTTCATTGAGAAAATACACCAGAGACTGCAATGCATTAGTTTATTAAAGTAAAGGGAGGCCGAGAAAAAGCTAAGAGCTATGAAGGAAGGCTAAAGAAATACAAACAAAGCAGCTGTGAAGCCCCTGAAATGATCCATTCTTTCCCATTGAAAAATATGACCCAACAGCCTTGTATTATTCCAGAACGGTCAGCTGGAAATTAGATATGAATCAACAAGCGTGAGTCCATCTGGTTGTTGTTTTAAACTCCACCCAACTCCAAACACATGTGGTCAGAGATCATCTTTGGAGAAAGGAGCTGCCTTACCAGTGCCCACAATTCTTGGATCTGCAAAATGCTTAGCTAAAATGGCAGCAAGGTGAGTCAAAGTCTCTTCATAGCCTGAAAAATAAAAAGTTCTGGTATGAAATCACTGACATACAGACACATTCTACAGTTACAGGATTCAGCAATTAAAGCAAAACAGAATTCTCACAATTAGCTCTCATGGTTTGAACCAAGGAGCCTGAGTCTCTACAAAGTAACCCTGAAATCTGGCTTAATGAATGAGAGAACAAGGACAGCAAGTATATCCAGAAGCTTCTAGTGTTGCCATTTTAACTTTGGAATATAACTAAAATGGGAATTTCTTGAAAGAGAAAGGACTAAATTCAGTTGTCAGCTCCAAACAGAATGGACTCTTTGAAGGAATGGGACTTGCTCAATTAACAGCTTGGAAATCTCATTGTTTCAATAGGCCTACTCTAGTTGGGACTAACAATTGCATTTAACCCCCCAAATCTACCACTTTCCTCTCAATAGAAAAGTAGCCATGAAGACTATATAACTTTCGTGTTTACCACCCCCAAGCCTCTTCTGGGGCATGCAGGTAATTGGTGTATGAATGGCATTTCATTGATATGTACTGCAAGGCTGGAATAAATAGCAAGGAATACTGTATCTTGTTTAGTCTACTCCATTTTAACCTTTTTTAAATTCCACATCTCATTCCCAAGTGGAATCCTGTAAAATATCCAATATCTTAAGAAATATAAACAAACAAGAGAGAGGGAGGGGGAGAGAGAAATCAACATTATGCAACCCAATGCATTATTTTTTATTTATTTATTTATGGACTATTTAATTAATTAATTAATTAATTAATACCCCGCCTATCTGGTCATTTCGACCACTCTACTTAGCTGCAACCAAGAAGATGTAAAGCATGTATGGAGAACTTATAGCTGTCCACATGGTTGCTGGATTATATGTACAATTATTTCTTGACCACTGGTTTTCTGGGAATAATGAAAGCTGGTGCCAGGAAAACTGGAGACCCTGATCTAAATTAACATATATTTCTTACATACTTTAACGTAGTATCAGCATCCTTACTTTATGTCAGTATTTTGCAATAAAATCCCTGTCTTACAAGTAAAATAATCACTATTTATTGAATCTTTGATACACCAAGCAATCCTAGAGAATGTTTACATGAGGTCTTTTGCCAGCCTATCACAAACATTGTCAAAAGGATCACAGCTTTAGAGAATATTGATAGCCAGTAGTACTATAACAGGGGGGAAAAGGTAACTCTGAGAAGGGAAGGAGATTCAGATAGAGAAAACTGCAGGGGAGGGCTAAACTCCTCCCAGTCTTCCCAGCACTGAAGTTCTGGTCCAAATCCTTACAACTATCTGCATCTTCTGTCTTTTGATAAACTTATGGGGGAACCAATCATGGATTTCCCAATATCATACCCAGTCTCCAAAAGCGAAAGAGTTTGTAGTTCTCACTAGTTGCACTGAAACTTAACAGTGTGTCTATGCTGGTAAAAATGGTGAATCTGGCAGAGGAATTTGAACATAAACACTCAAACTCTGGAACAACTCTATGAAATGTAAAACAACTCTTCATAAATAAACACATAACTACATCTTCAGGAGCAGGCTGCATAAGACGTTTCACACTTTGTTGTGAGAGAAGCATTTTCTCAACCACCACATCTCAAAAATAAATGAATAAATAATAAAAATTGGATTTTCCACAAGTCTCCAAAATGTAACTGCAGGCCAAGAGCAGAAAACATAAGTGAAGCCAAAACCAGGGAACAAGCATACCTGTTGAAACCTGAGGAGGAGGAAAAAGAGGCACAGAGAAAGGCTTATTCTTGCCTATATGACTTTAGCTCTCCTCAATAGGCAAGAATAATGCAAACTGTTTAGTGCCATGAAACTACACAGTAGAACTAGAACCAAATAGGAAAAGACATTAACACCCTCCAGACTGAGATATACCAATAGGCTGCAACTGCACGAGGTCAAGGGATCTAATGCGTTGCCTTGGGCTTTCTGGGGCATTCACCAAAAAAGAATGGATGGAGGTTGCTGAAGCCAGCTGTCAGCTTGCCTTCATGCTCCAGAGTTCAGCATTTAAGCTTCTGCTACAAACACAGCAGCACATACGTAAACATGTCTGAGGAGGAAGTCTGCAAAGCAACTTTCTACTCTATCCCTATATTTGGGGCTCTCCACAAAACAAAAACAAAAAAAAAAAAACTAAAATGCTGGAAAGGTCCATGAAGACCAGCAGGTGCTTTCCTTCAACTGCAGAAAAGCAATCACACAGACTGTATAGCAGGGGCCCAAACTGAGTTGCTTAGCTTCTATGGAGTTGACTTTCTGGAATACGCAAAGGAATTCTTAGTACATGCACAGCAAGGTTAGGAAGAGCATTGATCATACACAGATGTGCAGTAAGATATCATGAGCTACGTCAGCAATTCTAGCTGGTTTCCCTCATAGTAACGGATGAATAGAATGGTGAGTACCTTCTTCCACAATGTGGTTCCCTCCAGGTGTCCTAGGGTGCACCCCAACATCATTCCCAGCTAGCATCAGTGACTTTCTTTCTTCCATTTATACCTTATCCATATCTCCTGTGAATGTTTATGGGTCTTCCCTTTTTCCTTCTTTGTGATGTAAGAATTCTGTGTACTGCTATTTTATGAAATGAGTAACAGATCAGAAACTTATTGGGATTTTACTCCAGATTAAGTGAAATCACCTATGTCATGGCAGCAAATTAACAAGATACTGGTCATGAGTGGCACATGATCAGACACAAAATAAGGCACACAACCAGGCACTTTGCTAGTAAGTTGCAACTGGTCTCTGCAATATATGTGATTTCTTTCATTCACTCTGGAGGAAAATCCCAACAGATTCTAGACATATTGTTTGAGGTAATGTAACTCCAATAATGAATTACGGTAATACAGAAAAATTACAAAGGCTAGGGGGTAAGTAGCCAGGCAGTAGAGCAGTTAATAAATAAAGTTCTTTGTAATCCAGATTTTAGACCGGGTGGCAAATTCCAAATAGTATTACATTTTTCCCTCATGTTCTGGATTCTACATGGAAAATTATAGAATGCCCGGATTAAGACTCTCTTAAATTTTCTTCCTTTTTACCTGGAAGTTCTTCCATGCTGTTGACAGGACTGAAGTAATTCTTGAGAGCACTGTAACTATTCATAGCCACACTTAGATAAAATTCAGGCATAAATGCAAAAAGTGAGCCAATCCTGTCTCCATGTTCAATAGTGCGGATGCATACTCGTAGCAACCAATATATGTCCTGCATCTTCTCCTGTAAGAAGAATAAATGCTCATGTCAAGTGGCAGAAAAGGAAAAGAAGTAAAAGATTAGATCAGACTTGTATTTAACATTTCAATCCCACTGGCTCCTGGTAAGTTTTCAAGCACAATTCAGAGTGCAGGTTTTTACTTACAAAGCCCTAAATGACTTGGGTCCAAGCTACATGAAATACTGGATTTCTCTTTAAGAAAGCTGTGGTACTCCCTCCCATGGGAGGCCAAGCTGTCTCCGTCTTTGCTGTCCTTAAGTAGGCAGGCAAAGACTCCTCTCTTTAGGCAGACTTTTCCCTCAGTGACTGTTTACCTAAGAGTTGAGTTGCTATTTTTTTCTTTTTTTCTGGGTTTTTGTGTGTGTCTTTGTTTTTCCCCTCCCCTTCCAGTCTTATATTGTTGGTGCTCAATTTGTAAACCACATGCGTCCTCTTCAGGGTAGAAATACTGTATTTTAAAATAAATATATAATAAACATCTGGCAGTCATAGGGATCCTCTAATTCCACACAGGCAAGTGAGTAGATTAGTACAGGAGCAATGGTAGATTAGTACCATCTCTTCTCCTTCATCTCATTTGGTTTCTGTGCTACCCACTCAAGAAGGCACTATCATCATAATCAGCACAAAAAGCAGCAGAAGAGGGGAGCATTTGTCCTAGCTTTCACCATCCCATTTCACTGAAGCAATTTTTCCCCTAGGTTAACAGTGTCTCTAGCAGTCATCACACAAATGCAGAATACTAACCTCTGAGCAGGCTCCTGCTAGCTAGTAACTTCTGTGGACTTATATACAAGACTAGAGTAAATATTACTATGTGTGTAAGAGACAAGCATTTAAGAGATGATGCCCTGTTATCAGATTTTGTGAAACACCTAAAGAAAAATGGAGACAAACCTAGTATTTCACAGAATAATGAAGTTGGAAGGGGCCTTAAAAGGCCATCAAGTCCTACCCCCTGCTCAGTGAAGGAATACAAATCAAAGGATATCTGCGAAGTGGTTGTCTAAGTTTCTCTTGAATGACTCCAGTGTTGGAGCACTCACCACCTCTCCAGGTAATTGGTTCCACTGTCTTACTGCTTTAATAGTTAGGACATTTTTCCTGATATTCAACTGAAATCTGGCCTCCTGTAACTTGAGCCCATTGTTGCATGTCCTGCATTCTGGGATGATCAAGAAGAGATCCTGCCCCTCATCTGAATCACAGACTTTCAGTGTTATCATATATCCCCTTAATCTTCTTTTCCAAAGGCTAAACATGCCCAGTTCTTGCTTATAAGTCTTGATTTCCAGCCCCCATAATCATCCTTGTTGCCCTCCTCTGAACTTGTCCCAATTTGTCAGCATCCTTCTTGAAGTACAGCATCCAGAAATTGATACAAGACTCAAGACGAGGCCTAACCAGTACCAAATAGAGGGGAACTAGTGCCTCACAGGATTTGGAGACTACTGTTAATGCAGCCATTTGCCTTTTTTGTAGCCACATGACATTTCTGTTTTCTGTAATGAACTTCACCTATATATGAACAAAAGTACAAGACAGGAAAAGCAATGTTATGGCTCCACTCAGCACTAGTTAGACTAGACCTAGAATCCTTTAAGCAAGGTGATTATTTTATATATTCTAATTACTTTCTCTCTTACCTTTGAGTAAATCGTAACATTGATCCAAGCAAGTCGACGACTCAGGTGATTGAGCTTCTCAGAGAAAACCTTCTGACTCTTCACTAGTTCTTCATAAATATCTCTTCTCTGAATTGGGGATAGAAAAGCATGAGAAGAAATGCTGTACTCTTTCTTTCTTCCTTTGACAAACATGTACACAGCAAGGATTCTAATTTCATAAATGTCTGGCCACAATCATAAGTTTTTTTCATTACTGTGGAATAGGGATATGAAAAAATTAAGTTTAGCTTCTTGTTTTTGTTGAGACAGCCTACTGAGAATTTTTAACCACTGTGACGCATCTTGCTTGGAGCACAAAAGCAAGACAGAATATATTTCCCCATCCAGATTTCCACAATTTGTATAAAATGTCTCTACAGTGGTGCCTCACAAGACGAACGCCTCGCTGGACGAAAAACCCACATAATGAATGGTTTTTGCGATCATGTTGGTGACTCGCAAGACGGCTTCTTCTATGGCCATGCATCGCAAGACAATTTTTTTCGCAAGACTGATGCCTCACAAGATGAAAATAATTCCTATGGGAAACCGCTTTTCACAAGACGAAAATTTCGCAAGACAGCGCTACTCACGGAACAAATTACTTTTGTCTTGCAAGGCACCACTGTATTCAAAACCAGCATCTTTCCCCTTTGCGAAGGAAAACATGCACTTACTTGTATGTATGTATGTATGTATGTATGCATGCATGCATGCATGCATGCATGCGTGCAATTTGTATCCTGCTCCCATTAGTGTTACAGTACTACTCTGGGCAGGTTACAACTCATAAAATAGCAAAACAAAAGTGAAAATAGAAATATTAAAACTGGTAACAATAACCCTAAAAAACCCAGATGGCAAAGACTAATTTCAGAACGGATCTTTTGAGAAAAAAAGGGGAGGAAGGTGGTCAGCTGGGGTTGGTATGGAAAGCCTCCTTGAAAAGCAATGTCTTTAACTGCTTCTTAAAAGTCCACAGGGAGGGGGCTAGGCAGAGCTGCTCTGGAAGCTGGTTCCATAAAGTTGGAGCCACTGCAAATAAGGCCCTACCTCTTGTAGCGGATTTATGAGCCTACCTCGGGGCAAGTGTACAGGAACTACTGTCAAATAGATTTGTCAAAGAGAGACAATAACCCATTTTATACTTCTAATTTTTAGAAGCAGCTATCACAGTTTGCTGCATTGTTGGTAAGGTCCAATATACTTAATTTTTTTCCTTACACCCATGAGCATCTAAGAAATCTTAATAGGAAACAATCTCATAATAACAGATTAGTTCCACAGTGAAGAATGATTTCTGATACTATGTTGAAAATCATATTAATATTAAAACTGGTAACATAGTTTCTCGCCACAGCAAATAATCATGGGAGGTGAGAGCTGGTACAAGATCATGGCATTCCTTCACAGTATATAATAGAAAGAGGGCCATGATTATATGAGGGTTTGTGACAGCCATATTAATATTCAAAGGAAAAAATCTTACATGCAAACAATTTCCAGCTCACTGGCCTCTAGCATACTGTTTGACTTGAAAGGCTATGCTTGGCAACCCTGGCATAGCAGGAACTGAAAATGCTTATAGTTTGGAAATATAACTGAGCTTTTAAAAGAAGCAAATATTTATAATTAGCAGATAAGATTCAACTTGGGTTTAATTCTTTAATCTTTTTGTAACTTGTAAGCAGTTAATTCAGCAACATGTGGTCCTCCATAATAACACTTAATATGAAATAAGTTAAAAAATTATGTAATAGCATAATTATAGAACTTCATAGGAAGCAATCATTTTATTCTACCTAAATGGTGATTAAGCCATTACTTCCTGGTCTAAGACAGATGAGCTTAGATTTAAACAATAGCAACAGTGCCTAAGAGATCCTCAAAGAAAAGCACATGCAGGTAATTTAGGAATATATGAAAGTGGGAAGGTAAATAGAACCATTTTCATGCTAGAGGTATAATAAATATCTGTTTTGAGTTTGCCCCATAAAGTAATTCGTCATTTTAGATTTTTCTCTTGAAATTCTCGTACATCTGCCGCAATGGCTACAGTCCTTGATCATGTACAGTAGCTCTCACAGAAGCTTTATGACCATAAACCATTTCTAAGAAACAAGATGGCAAAACCACTCTGAGAAGAGCTTCTTACCCTCTTTGGGCATCGGCTAATCTTCTCTTCAGTGTCTTTCAGTGCCATAGCATACTCGTTCACATCATCAGAAACACCTACCATCTGAAACACAAGTAAATGTCAGTAACACCAGTCTTTCTAAGGAAGTTGCAACATCTGCTAGGTTATTTGCCAGAAGAAAATTTAACAGGATTATGTCAGCATCAATATTTCCCAGGGACCAAAACCACCATGAATCCTCCCACTACCCCTTTTACTGCATGAGACAGTATATAATCTAACAGACTGAGGACATCAAAGGTCTCAGAATGTGGGTCATTACTAAACACCAGCAGGCTGGAAGGCAAATTCAGGCAGAGCTGTTGCAAATCTTACTCTCAGTGGCATTTCCATCTGCAAAGTCATTTCCCCTACTTAACTCATATCAGTGTGGTGGAAGAGGCAGTGAGCAGAGTGGTGGTCTAGCACCCTCTTTTCAACCCTCTGTTTTCCAAGTGAAAAAAAAACTAACTCATTTTTGTTGCTCCTGAAACACGATCTGCTATAAACAGATTTAGTTCCACCCAAAGGCACATCGCAACAAGTATTATTGTTTTGTAAGGTAGCTCTAGTGGTTCTTCCCATCCTATTCTAGTGGAACCTGGTGTCCCTGTCAGCATGAGTTCTAATCCCAATTGTGAGAGTGGGGGGCAGGACTAGAAACTCCCCTGAAATGAATCCTGCTCACCTTACCAAGCTGCTGATGCACGCTGAGGTTGTACATCATGACTATTCCATCCAAGATTTCCAAAAGAGAGTTCTCTGTGATCGGCTGTTCTGGCTCTTCAGCTGGTCTCCCCAACAAGAGGCCCTCATTCCCATGGCTGCCCTCAACTACGAAGAAAACAGAAAATAATTTCTCAGCAAGCCTCATGATAGTTTGAATATATCAGTGCAAAGAAAATGGACCTAGAAGATTCGGAACACTAACTTTAACATTCTTTTGTTCAATTTTACAATTAATTTCCTTCATGTTACCTGTTCCAAAACCATACCTGAATGAAAAGCTACCTCAAGGCAGCTGACATCTAGTTTTAGCTGGCCTGGATTGCAATCAGGTGTGTTTTCCTTTACTCCCTATGAACTTGGATTTTCTTGATTCTTGCGTTCATGCAGTTTTTATCAGAATAATTAAATCACACTTATTATTACCCTCTGGTACTCCCAAATGATCTGCATTAGCAACATAGTCCTTGTTACAGTATTTCAGGTAAGAAGCAACTATCTTGTATTTTACTCCTGCTCCCTTACAATACACAAAATCCTGTTGCTCAGAGAAGTTAATTGCAGTAGAGAAGGGCCACTGAATCAAAGGGGATTTAGTGCGTTGACTCATCAAATCTCCATTTAGTCAGTGTGATTTATTGCACTAAGCTACAGGATTTTGGTCAATGAATCAATCTTTCTATCAACTAAGTGGATGAATTTCAAAAATAAAGCAGAGATGCTGATAACATATACTTATAAAGTTTCATATACATTATTCATGCAAGTGAAACTCTGCTTGGAATGAGCCTAACATTAAATCCAAGCAATTGTTCATGATTGTTGGCATTTGTTATTTATTATTTATTTAGCTACCTCTTTGAAGAATGCCCTAGAATGCAGTAAAATATACTACTCACTGTCCTCTTCTGTCCGTTGCTCCACATTCAATGTACGGACTTTAACTTTTTCCAGGGCACCTGGTGATCGCCTTGGAGTCATAAGGCTAACAGCTGCAGTGCTAAGGAAACGATTAGCTCGTCCCAGGGTAGGTGAACTGAGCCAACTTGGCCTGGCCAAGGCACCTCCTATTGCCAATGCAGCAGCTGGACGCTAAGAGAGACAGATATCATCAGAAATATGCAGTAGGAGCTGCATGGCTTCTTTTAAAGAACAAGTGAAGCTTTCTTGAACCATGTACAAATGTCACCCATCCTTCTTAGTTTAAATTGTGCACTAAGATATGGAAATTCATAGAAAATTTTTCTGAAAGATTCATACACCATTTTTAGATTCCAGAAAGGTGTGGTGCTATGTTATACAGTAAAGAAGCTTAGCTGGAGCAAAGATTCAGGGAAATCCTTACCAGCAACCAGAAGTTGTAACCTTAGCAGTGTATTTCCATAGGATTATTTTGAATGAGGTCTTAAATATGGCACACAATGAAGACTGCAGAAATTTCACTGCAAGTAAGATTGCTGATGCATCAATAGAAGTTGAATCAGTCCTTACAAGGTCGAAATGACAGGTAGTATTGTATTAATAGTACTGGACCATAAGCAGTCCTAAATAGCTCCTCATATAAGAGACAGAATATACTTTGCAGCCCAGTGTTTTGAGACAGATACAAAAACTCCATTCATATGGCGACTTTCCTTTTGAAACAACATACAAGCAACAGCAAAGTTCTCTAGGTCCTTTGTAGGCATCCTTCAGTCTTAAGAGACTATGGTAATGTGCTCTGAACAGAGGTCTTGAAACAGTGTCTAGTGTGACTGAGAAGGCCAAAATGAGGGTGACAACCCCTTCCACACTGAAATCTCTCTAGGTCCAGTGTAAGACATTCTTGCATATTTTCAAGAGTGGCATACTCTTGGTCATTTATAAGCTTGCACTTGAGAGAATTTTAGAGAGTTGAAGGGATCCTCAATGTCTTCTAGTCCAATCCACTGATTATCTAACTTACAGCATTGCTGGCATATGGCCATCCAGCCTCTGGTTGGAACTTTCAGCAAATAAGTCCTTAGCATCTTCAGCTGCAGTCCATATTCACTCATGAACATGCTGGACCATTATTAAGTGTTACCTATGTTTAATATTTGTTTGTTTGTTTCTCAATTAAAATACAGTATTTTAGGTAATGAATATACAATACTAGTAAAAACTGTGTGCTATCAAGTCAGTCTTGACTTAAACAACCCTTGGCAACTTTTCTACATAAAAAGTACTCAAAGTGATTGTGAGTACTTTTTATGTCCCAGTAGGTCTGGGGTTGTCACAGTGCTCTAGGACAGCACAGCTCTAGATCCGTTGTTCCCAGCCTTTTCTGAACCTTGGACCGGTTGGGGGGCAGGGTTGTGTATCAGCATCTCTTACACACTCTGCAGAAAGTCTGAAGTTGGAGGAGCACTCTTTCACTCTGAACCAGGCTTTGCAGGAACTAGGAAAACCAGCAAGATCCACATGACTTTTGCTACCTGCAGAAGACCTATGTGAAATGAACTAGAAACCTTCACCTCCTGCAAAGAAAAGCAGGAAGACTTGCATATGAAGGCTTGTCTATAACCCTACACTACATTCTGGAAAACAGAAGAACTGAAGGAAGTCCCCTCCACAGCTTCCTGCTTCCACAGTACACCGTGGGATGAAGAACCTCCTTTCACTTTTCTTCAGACCTTAAGGAAAAAGGTAAGGAACAAAAAGATCTCCCGGTGTTCCTTTCCTTTTTGAATATGTGACACACTTCATGTACAGTTTGTATGTAGCACCTCAATTCCCCCACTGTGCCTCCTTGAGCAGGGCTGCTCTCTCTCGCTCCCTCTCCCCCTCTCTCTCTCTCTCGCTCTCTCTCTCTCTCGCTCTCTCTCTCTCTCGCTCTCTCTCTCTCTCGCTCTCTCTCTCTCTCGCTCTCTCTCTCTCTCGCTCTCTCTCTCTCTCGCTCTCTCTCTCTCTCGCTCTCTCTCTCTCTCGCTCTCTCTCTCTCACACACACACACACGCGAGAGAGAGAGAGAGAACTTGCAAACTCAAGAAAACTGCTGAACCATCACGGCAATCACTGATAAAGAACCAGTGAACCCAGCTCCAAACTCCTTCATCCAACTTCAACAACATTCTGCAGATCTCAAGGCTGGGAATGCAGCATTGCTGACTCAGAGATCTTGGGGCAATGGGTTGTTTGACCTGTTAGATGCAGACCTCAACCTATTTCACGCAACATTGCTAGGCTTACTTGTGCAGTGGATACTGCTGACTCTTCATCTTCATCGAGGTCATCCATTGTCACAGCTTGAAGTTCTGAAGGATCTATCAGAATATTAGCCTTGGAAGCCAGGTCATCTGTGTGAATTTTAAAAAAGCAATGATATTGACTGTTTCTTTACAAGATAATTATCTGTGTAGGAGTCTCTTGCTTCTCATTTAATGTTTTTAGTGTCAAGCTAGAGCAGTGACATCCCAAGTGCAGTTTGCCTGCAGTGGGGGGTGGGGCGTTTCTAATTTATCAGCTCAAGATTGCTTCAAAGTGAACAGAGGAGCACTCTTGAGAGAGAGTGCTGCTTAATTCTCTCTTACCAAGACATATGCCTACTCAGAATCACTTTTCTTCCACTGTTTCCCTCTCCAAGAGAAAACGGGATGCAAAGACCTAAATGTTTTATGTCTCAGGGAAGAAACCTGGAAACAACAACTGTCAGCAGAAAAATAGTGAAGAAAAAATACTAAAGAAAGAATGCATTAACATTCTCCAGTGTGCATTCTGCACTCACTCTGAAGCGAGCTGTGAATAGTTTTTCTGATAAGAGTATTTGATTATAGAAGATGCCCTGCCATGCAAACTGTATTATAAGTATTTTCAGACTCTATTTCTGCTTTTAAAAGCATTCTTCTCATACTTTTTGCTTTTGAATGCACTCTGAACACAGAGATTCGAACTGCCAGGCCCTGAAGAATGGCCACATACTTCCATCCATAAACACAAAAACAAAAACCCAAAAACTGGATAGGGAATCTTAGATTCTCTTTCTGTATGAGCAAAACACAACATTTATTGGTCAATAGCCACATACTTCAAATGTGCCTGCATTTCATATTCTCTTATCTCTACCAAACACATGGCTAAGCAGCCCCAGTGCCCTGAAGTCTGGCTCAGATGCTCCAAAGAGCACCTAAGAGAGGGAAAAGGCAAATACTAATCAGGATTTCACAGATCAAGCCACAACAGCTGGCACTTTATCTTCAAGTCCCTGGAGAGTACATCTTTTTATTTTTTAGCCTCAGAAGTCACAACATACCCTTGAAGAGAAGTTTGGTTATTTTAATTAGTTGGAACAGATTTATACACCAATTAACAAGCCCACCCTCCAAAAAATTACCGCACTTGTGTCACATCTGCCATATAATATTCAAGTTATATGTAATCTGCAAGAAAGGTCATAGTAAAAAAAAAACCTAAACTTCTGAAGGCTGTTTTAGATGTTTAGTTAGCACTGGTTAGGTAGTGGTATTTCAAGCTCAAACCTCTATTAGTCAACAAAGATAAAATGTAACAGGACCTTTAATCCTACCAGTGGGAACTGCCATGATGCCTAAACCTGCAGCCTTTTGAGTAAAATTGAAAGGAAGAATCAGAGTTCCCACACAAAAGGTGGCTCTGCAAAGATGTTACCGTAAGCTAAACCTATGGCACCCTCTCTACTTTATCCACATCTCAGCAAAAACAAAGCAAAGTGTGGTGTTTATATATCATTCCAAAACACATAAAGCTCTGTCTGGACAGTTTATAACTTAATTATGCAAGCTACACACTGTCCCCCACACCCCATGAGTTGGGTACAATTTACCAACCTTGGCAGGATGGAAGGTTGAGTCATCTTCAAGCTAGCTGCTTGAGCCCAGGATCGAACCCAGGTTGTGAGCAGAGTCTTTGCTGCAGTACTGCAGTTTAACCACTGCAGCACAAGGCTCATACTGAGGTTCATATAATCCTCTTATTGCAGGATTATCATATTCTTTGCTTACGTGAAACATGATGGCCATGTTTAAGCCAAAAATTCTGAATTGGTAAACTATGATGTGAACAATTAGCATGCTGGTGTACAACTCCTACTTATCCTCTCCAATACATAAGTAGGTAAATAAAGCAGAAACAGATAACAGTGATTATGATTAACTGTGGGGAAACAAACCAGCATTTGTAATTCAACAACAACCTCAATTTAAAGATGCTAATAATCCTGCCTTGTTTGGCACACACACATAAGGCAAAAGTATTCCATCATAATTTGTTTACTCACAAATGTAAAGGAGAGGATGAGCAAAAATAACGGGGTACCCATGGCTTGTTCATATCATTGTTTATTAAGCAAGGATTCTTGGTTTAAAGTGATGAATGGACTTAGCCCATAAGATGTTCAGATGATTAGACACTTGCCTTTGAGAGTCTTCTTAAGATGAGATAACAATCCCCCAAGTCGTTGGAGGTCAAAGTAATCCACCTTCCCATTATAGAAGAGCTGAGGGGGAACATATGCATCTGCAGGGAAAGGCAGACAGATGTAATTTAGGAAGATAGTCAAAGAAGAACTAAACTTCACTCACTCCATATAATGACAAATATTATCTGCACATGGATATATAGATTATAAACTTTATTCATGTCATATGCAAAGGCATAATCCCATATAGCAGTCTATGTAACAATTATGTAAAATACTGAAGCTATTATAAAACAGCAATGTAAAGCTAATAGAGAAATTTAGAGAATTTCAGAAGCAAGTAAAGACAGCAGTATAGACTCCAATATGTAAGTCTTATCACTAAAGATGCATTGTTCATATGTTTCAGTTTAACAACACTAAAGACCTCAGAAGAAAACAACTTGAAATAAGTACTGCTTAAAAGCCTGTCTAAAGGCTGGTAAAAAATGGAGATGCAAGCAGCTTGATGGGAAGGGAATTCTGCAACCAAGGGATCATGACTGAATTCAGTTACAGTACCTTCACCTTATCTAGAACATGTCTTAAGCTGTTATCTTATTCTACCTCCTTGACTGCTCTCCCTCTGATACGAAGAATTCGTGGAGACCTACAATGTGTGCTACAAGATACCACATCACTGAAAATGATGAGTAAACATAAAAGGCTGATGACTGGACACTTGAAGGAGCCCTAAACGAGGAGCCTTACTGTGGCAAGAAGGGTGGTGAAGGCAGCCTTCTCCTGAAGGTCTGTTCTTGGGCTGAGTCCCCACAAGCCCAGTCTTGATGTGGTTCACCGTGGGAAGGGAAGGTAAAAATGCCTTTAAATTAAATTAAGAAATACTCAGATCCTATTCTTAAAAGCAGTTTTGAACATGAGGACATCAAACCAAACGCCAATCTTTTATAGCATTTCTCAGTAAAATGGATTCTGAAAAGGCAAATATTTTCAGTCTTCTGCAGCACGCAAAAGAATTTCAGAAGTAATCAATATGCGTTTTTATAGATGACTGCAAAACCTTGGACTGTGTGGCTCATGAAAAACTATGAGCTGTTTTGAAAGAATTGAGTGTGCCTTAACACTTCATTTTCCTGATGCATAACCGGAAACACACCTTTGGAACTGCAACAGAAGGCATCAATCTCCAGACTAGATCAGATGAAAAGCTCTTTAATCTCTCTAGATTGAGAGCGAAGATCAAAGTCCAACTGAAATGCATGCGGGACTTTCTCTTCGCCGATGATGCAGCTGTTTTTGCCCATTCTGCTGAAGACTTCCAACTCATGAAAAGTTTTAGCAAGGCCTGCCAAGACTTTGGATTAACAATCAGCCTGAAGAAAACACAAGTCATAGGCCAGGGTGTGGACTCACCTCCCTCTATTACCATCTCCACACAAGAACTGGAAGTTGTTCATGACTTTGTTAACTTTGGCTCAACAATCTCTGACACTCTCTCACTAGACGTTGAGCTGGATAAATGCACTGGCAAAGCAGCTACCATGTTTTCTAGACTCAGAAAGAGAGTATGGCTTAATAAGAAGCTGACAGCACATACCAAGATCCAGAGCCTGTGTCCTGAGCACACTCATGGACTGCAGTGAGTCCTGGACTGTTTGTGCACGGCAGGAGAGGAACCTGAACACGTTCCATGCACATTGTCTCTGACGCATTTTTGGTATCATCTGGCAGGACAATGTTCCAAATAGAGTAGTTCTGGAATGAGCTGGAATTACTGAAATAGCGACATCTACATTGGTTCGGTCATGTTGTGAGAATGGTTGATGGTTGGATTCCAAAAGATCTCCTGTCTGGAGAATAAGTGCAGGGAAATCGCCCCAGAGGGAGACCACAGCTGCGATACCAGGACATCTGCAAGCGGGACCTGAAGGCCTTAGGAATGGACCTCAACCGATGGGAAACCTTGACCTCTGACCGCTAAGCCTGGAGGCAGGCGGTGCATCGTGACCTCTCCCGATTTGAAGAGACCCTTGCCCAGCAGGCTGAGACAAAGAGGCAGTCCCGAAAGCAGCAAAACCAGGGAGCTGGACAGGGGACAGAGTGTCTTCAGTGTGGAAGGGATTGTCACTCTCGAATTGGCCTCCTCAGCCACTGTTTCAAGTCCTCTATTCAAAGCATGTTACCATAGTCTTTTGAAACTGAGGGATGCCTAATCTAACCTGTATTGTGGACAGGAAGCTACCAGTAGGAAAAAATATGGAGAGACAGAATGGTTTCCAAATGGCAAAGGTGTCTAGACAAGTGTGCATTTTATCTCCCTACAGTATCTGTCCAATCTGTATGCAGGGGATATCATATGGAAAGCTGGACTGGATTCATATGACAGAAGAGTGAAAATTACTGGAAGAAACCTTAGTAAAATGGTGCCTCCACTTACGACCATAATCCGTTCCAGAAGATGAACGTAACTCGAAATGGTAGTAAATCGAAGCACCATTTCCCATAGGAGTGCAGTGAAATGCAATTAAAACCCGCTTTCTCACAGGAATGCACTGAAATGCAATTAATCCGTTCGATTAATCCATTCCAGCAGGGGGGGGGGAGAAAAGCAAGCAAACCATGAAAGACCATTGGGAAATGCAAAAAAGCAAAGGAGAGAGCAAGCAAAGCATGCAAGACCCATTGGAAATGCAAAAAAAAATAAGCAAAAAGCAAGCAAAGCATGCAAGACCCATTGGAAGTGCAAAAAAAGCAAAGCAAAAAGCAACGAAACCCCACAAGATCCATCAGAAATGGGGGAAAAACCCAAAAAGCAACGAAACCCCCCAAGACCCGTCAGAAATGGGGGGAAAACCCAAAAGCAACCAAACCCCCCAAGACCCATGGGAAATGGGGGAGGGGACCAAAAAACACACCAACCCTCCAAGACCCATTAGAAATGGGAAAAAACACTCCAAAAAGCAACAAAACCCACCAAGACTCATCGGAAATGGGGAAAAAAATAAACCAACCAACAACAAACCCCCCAAGACCCATCACAGAACAGAAACATAGCTCCCCACAGCTCCAAACCACACTGCAAAAACACCCAGAACAGTTTTTAAAAAGCAGAAAACAACACCTTTCCTCACCAGGCAGCCCGAAGCCTCCCTGCAAACACACATACATGCACACTCAGAAGCAGAAGGAGGCAGTCCCAAGCCTCCTCCGATGACGCACATTCTCCAACTGTTGGGGTGAAAGAGCTACAAAGAAGCAGCCTCGTTGCCACCTACAGTTAGCAATTTGAATTTCCCGCCTTTTTCTGTTCGTAAGTGGAAGCTCCGGTCGCAAGTAGAAGCAAAATTTTGCGGCTGGAGCAGGTTGTAATTCGAAATGGTCATAAGTAGGGACATTCGTAAGTCGAGTCACCACTGTAATTTAAGATACACAGATGACACCATCTTACTAGAAGAAAGCAGCAATGACTTGAAATGACTTCTGATGAATGTGAAAGAAGAAAGTGCCAAAGCAGGATTGCAACTGAACAAGAAGACAAAAACAGTGACTACAGAAGAACTACACAGCTTCAGTATTGTCAATTAAGAAACTGAAATATTGAAATATTTTGTATACAGTTGCAATCAAAATTATTCAACCCGCACTGCAAATAAGGTTTATTGTCAAAATTTATATACCTTGAGCTGTTTGCAGTGAACAAATCAAAGAAAAGCAATTGAAATAGCTCAACATAACAAATGCTTCAAGTGGTTTCCCCAAATTCAACTGATAATGCAAATTTTAATGAATTCTGTAGTCTCAAAATTATTTAGCCCCTTCATGGCAAGCATCTTTATTACTTAGCAGAGCACTCTTTTGCTGTTTATCTGTGAAGATTCTCAGTCATCCAGGTGAAGTTATCTGGAAGTTGGCAACTGGACTTCTTTCTTATTAGGTTGAAATGTTTCGCTATTCATCCAAGTAGCTTCTTTAGTCTGCAGAGAGTTTGTAGGAGACCCTGATATATCTTCCTCATTGGTTTCATTCCCCTTGGTCTGAATAGGCTCCTTAGAAGGACAATGAACTGGGGGTGGTAAAAATCCCACTTCTGCAGTCCTTCTCCATCCATTTTTCTGGGGATGGATGAAAGGGCT